TGATTGTGTCACTTATATTGATATTGAACAACACACCTGGTGCGCATATTAAAAATATATCTGGTTTTACTTATTTTAGTTTAATTCTATAAAAGTTAGGATAGGTTAGGGACTTGTGGGTATACGTAAAGATTACTTCATAATAGACCAGTCTATTTGGATATACACACCTTTTCAAAAATATGCATAAAGCATTCACATCTAAAACAAAATTACTATAATAAGTATATTAAAATAAAGTTGAACAAAGAACTATAATTCCGAATTTCTAAATTTTGGCGATATCGATCTCTATATTACAAATGGTACTGGTACTGGCACTGATTTACTTATTTTGAGACTAGGAATAATATTTTTATTAAAACTTTAACTTACTGGTCACTGTTATAATATGTTGTACATTAATAAAATATTTTAAATCGAACATATTAAGTTAATGTTAAATAACTATTCGTTAGTTAAATTGCTGATGAACTTTAAATTAATAAAACAACTAAAAGTTAAATAAATAATATATTTTAATTTAATTTGTATAATTTTAAATATTTTCATCATCTTCATCTTCATCATCTTCCAAGTCGGAAATATCGGATTCCCACTCATCGGATGACCCCGTGTTTACACTGATTATGAGGGAATCTGTAAATTCATCCATAAGGTGTTCTCTTTGAATATATGCATCTTCATATTTCGCGGAATGGTCCACCACGTTTGCCCATTCCTACGGCGTTATGCTTCGGAATTTTTCTCTTGCCAACTTTTCAACATTATCCAACTTGAATGTTGTGTTATGTTCACCAACCCAATTTTTTACTGTGGCCCATATTTTTTCTATGGGATTTAATTCGTAGAACTTTGTGTCCATATTCTTCGAGAAGATCGTCTAAAAGGAATTTCGGTGGAGGTCTGTGAACTGTTATTAATGTGAACAGTTCTGGTTTGGTCATTTTAGCATCATGTGGTATATTGTTTTTAACGAGCCAGCTAATTAAATCTGCTTTTTTGGTCTGCGTTGTAATCGATTTTTCAGATTTTGCATTATCGATTACAAGTACAGACCTTGGAGGAAGATTTGGTAGTAACTGCCTTTTAACCAATTGGGAAAAATTATTCCAGTTCATTTCATCATGATAATCTCCTGTCTTTTTTCCTGAAAAAAAGTAAAAAATAATTTATTATTTGTAATGCAAGTATGTTTTTCATAATTATTTTTGTATGATACTTAAACTTACAAAAAAACTCTTTTAAATGAAATAATTGCTTAGTTAAGCAAAAATTATTAGGAATTTTAAATCACTTAAAAAATAATCTGTTTTTAGAAGAAATATTTCTTCAAGATGATAAGACTTATAATAATCCCAAGAAAAAGTTATTACTAAAAACTTTCCCTTGTATAACAATAAAGGATTAAGTACAGGTAAAGATTTTTTAACTAAACTGAAGATAATAAAATAAACCACTACATTAAGTACATAAATTACTTGTTAATTAGATACTTTGACAGTTTAAATTAAATTTAAGCTGATCATAACTTTCGATTGTTAAGCATAATGGATTTTATGGAGTAGGTAAAGAAGCAAATAATAAATAATGTTCTATAAAAAATAGATTATTACCTGAAGTAAATATCAACAGCCCATTTTCTACAAAACCATCCTTACTCCCTGCATGCAACATTATGAGCCTTTTCCCCTTGCTCATTGGAGTTTTGAATTTGCCTTTGCCCCATCGGTCTCCATCCTTTCGAATGTGTATGACTACTATGTAAATAGGTCTCATCACAATAATAAATAGTTCTGCCCTCTTGTCGATAATGTATTAAAGATTTTAAATAATTTGTCCTCTTATTCCTAATGTCGTAGGATTCCAATAGAACAGATCTGTTGTCTTCATTTTTTTTCCACCTGAAAAAATAAACACTGTAATTTTATACGTACAAAAATTGACTATGAGAAATTAATTATTTTGGTACCATTTTATTTTGATTTTTTTAGATAACGTTATTTATACTTACTTAAAACTTATGTTTAATATTATTTTTCTAAGTGATGAGATGCTGCCCCGGAATTCAAAACAACAATCCTTCATTTTTTGTAATATACCTAAAATAATATTTATATTAAATACGTTGCCATTATAATTAAAATAGTAACTTACAATTTAGAGTTGGTAGTCTTTTCTCAATAATATGAAAATCATGGATTATTATACCTCTGAATTTTTCCAACTCTTCAGGTCTTATAGATTCTACAACTGTACTTCTTTTTGTATATCGTCTTTGTGAAAATGAAGTACTAACTCCACTTTCTACTTCACCAGCCATCTTCTTAATTCTAGAATAACTGCTTCTAGAAATCCCTGTGCAGCTAAAATTCTCTCTCTGTATTTGTGTAATGGTATTTGAATACCGTGTTCAGCTTCGTTTTTCATAAAATTTATGAGGCGTGAAATTATTTTTTTCGTTTGACTTTGAAGAATTTGGCCCTTTTTGCCTAATAATTTTTTCTGTTCCATTTTGAACGAGCTAAAAATATAGATATTTGTAGGAAATTTGTTTTAAATAATATTAAACTCATTTTTATATTCATCAGGAGCAAACCGAACCTCTACCAAGGAATTTTTTTGAAATAGTAATACAAATTAAAGTTACTTAAGAGCTAGTGCTTCGGTAATAAGATAAAATTCGTAGCTTTTATATATTTTATCACCAAGTTCTTAATATTTAAGGTATTTACGTGATATTTTTTTTGTTGCTATATAGTGACTTAAACTACAGTTCTGTAGTATGAAATCAACAAAAAAGTATTACAACGCAGAAAAAAAATAAATTTTTTTCAGATTATGAAAACTGTTTTAAGGATTCTGCTTTTATTTTTTATTCGATTAGAATTTCCTTTTAAGAATTCTCTAGAGAAATCTTCCCTTTACAATTTGTAAAAAATATTTTTTTTTGTTTTATCTGAGTGTTTAATTTTAGTTTCAGTTTTTTCATCAAGAAATAGTAATATGTTAACCGAATCTTTAAAACAGTGATCATACTCAGATTTGTTTTTAAAAAAAATGTTTTTTTTCTGCGTTGTGGTAATACTTTTTTGTTGATTTCATACTACAGAACTGTAGTTTAAGTTACTATATAGCAATAAAAAAAAATATCACGTACAATACCTTAAATATTAACTTGGTGATAAAATATATAAAACCTACGAATTTTATATTACCGCAGCAATATGGTTTACAAAAATCTTATTTTAAAAGGTATTTCAAATATTTCAGGATGTTCGGTTTCTTCTGAGATTAATATTTATAGTTTTGTAAATGTACTTATCAAAATATACACAAAATTAATTAGAAATTCAAAAAATATAACAAATTAAAGTTTATATACACACAAATCGAAGCAAAAAAACTCAGTAAATTCAAAAATCGAAGTACAAAACTCAAGAAACCCAAAATAGCTAAATAAATGCAACAAGTACAAATAAGTAACACTACGCTACTGAATTCAACTTGTATAAGCGGTGATGAGCGGCAGGCGGCCTCGATCACGTTTAAATCTGTCTAACCACGCCTACAGACTCAAATTGGTTTCTGCACATTATGACGAATGATAATGTTACAAAAGAAGTATAAAATGCAGAAAGAAATATTTTAATTTTTATTAAGCCATACAAAAAAAAATAAATAAATACATTTAAAATTTTATGTTGTCATATTTTCATATAGAAATACTTGATTGTCTATATTTAAAAAAAAACCCTTTCAGAATGTGTGGAGGTCGCAGGAATACAAAGGATTTTTTTTATTTGCTTTCCACCAGTTTAATAGACATCTATTTTTGTCGAGATCTTGCTCTTTAATCTATGTCTTTAATGCATTTTCAACTTCATTCAACTTCATTCAACTACTTAGTACCTGACATTTTTTTTGGGAAAAGGAAATGCAATACACTTGAGCTTTCCACAGTTTCTTCTTCGCTTTGATTGGTTAATCTTGCTAGTATCTGTTCCAGATATATGACTGTATTTTTTTATATATTCAGGGAAAGTGCTACAGATTCAGAAACCTGCCTTCATCTATATTAAAAAAAAATGAATGAACATTTTCTAAAAATATGCTTCCAAATTTTTCATTTTTCGTGTTGACATAATTCACGTTTGAAATATTATTACATTTTGAAAGAATGTAGTTGCATCTATCTATTTAAATTAAAACCAAAATTATGCCAAAAATAAATCATTTTAATTTATTAGCTCTCCAGACGCGTTCTAATTTATTTTAGGTTCTAACAATTAGAAAAAAATTATCGTCGCAATTTATTACTGAAATATTTATTAATAGATTGCTACAAAACATCATCTGTTCAGTGAAAATCGATGTTTTTATTTGCACTGATAATAAACATTTTTATTTCAATTCCAATTTTTATTTTAAATATCTACATCTATTACAGCGCTTTGCCAATAAAATCAGTGGCGTCTGAAAATTAAGTTACTTCGCTGTTCCGGTAAAACAATGACGCAAGTGCAAAATTGTGACATTTTAATTTTAACATGTCATTAGTTTCCAAATTAGTCTCTCTATACGGTATAACAACGGCGTAATTCTATATCCACTCGCGGCTGCTAGATAGTAGTTGCGTCAGTTTTTAAATATTAATGTTTTCCTCTCCACTTTTGGAAAACAATGATACATGAATCAGTTGTGTCTGCAAATTTAACGGAGACATTACTTACTCCATGGTTAAATGTTGTATTTGCTATTTTGGACAATTTTTTTGTGATTTATGTGCCCAAATTTGGAAGTAATAATATTCGTTTTTCGTCTCTCCTGAAAAATTAAAAATTTTGCATTTGCGTCATTGTTTTACCGGAACGGTGCTGTCTAGTTCTAGTTAGCCTTGGAACGTTTCTTTGAACAAGCCAAGAAAACAACGAGAATGATGTTTAGCCGATTTCTTTTTTTAAATGCCTCATTATTCCACATCATGTTTTTGTTTTCAGATTTCCGGAAAACGTGATCCTGTCCAAGAACAAGAAGCCCAAGCATGGATAGAACAGGTAACAGGAATGAAATTCCCTCCTGGAGTTCCATACGAAGACGTTCTTCGCGATGGAATCATTCTTTGCAACTTGATGAACCGTCTAGCTCCTGGAATTATCCAAAAAGTCAACACTTCAGGTGGAGACTACAAAATGATGGATAACTTGAGCCAGTAAGTACCTAGAGATAATATTTTTACTTTTATGTCTGTATACAGGTAAGCGTGTGTGTGCGTGCGTGTGTGCATGTGTGCGTGTGTGCGTGTGTGCGTGTCTATACTCGATAATTCATGTATGTATACAGAGAAAACACCAAATTTTAAACTTAAGCTTTATTCCGACCTGCAGTGAGCTTATTATATTTTGGGCATCGTCGGAACATCTGGGGGGGGGGACTTTAGGGGGTCATTTTTCTATTTTAAGGAATATATCTGGTATTTACGCTTAAAGAAGAAAATTTTTCATATTAAAGTTGTTTGTTATATTATTCTCTATAATTTTTGTTACTATAGATGAATCATGGGTTATTCATTACGATCCTGAAACCACTTTAACTAAAGTGCAGAGTTAGAATAACGAGTGGAAACACAGGAAATCTCCTCCAACTTGAAAATTAATGCTTCCATTAGCGGAGAAGGTGATGCTCTCCGTTTTTTAGGATGTTTAAAGGGTAATTTTGGTTGGCTATCTACAGGGTGTTTTAAAAAACATGTACTATCGCTCGTAAGGTAATTCCTTACTCAAAAATAAGACAAATAGTTCCTATCAATGTGAGTCCACAGATGCTTTGTTTCAAAGGTACAGGATGTTATAATTTTGAACGTTTTTGTTTTCTTTATATTTCTAAAACTGCTTTAACGTTCTTTTTTAGGTACATTTTACAACTAATTTTCATTCAAATCGTTTCGGAAAATTTGTTAAAACAAAGAAAATTAAAAATTATTACACCCTGTATTTTTTAAACAAAGCATCTGCGGACCCATGTTGAAATGAATAATTATTAGGGAAGGGGAGGCTTAGTCCCCTAAGACCCCCACGAAATGCTGTGCATATGGTCACCCTAGGTAAAAGGCTCATGGATTGTGTAAACATTTTAATCTAAGGGGAGCATGTCCCTCCCCTCACCCCCAGAGCCGCCCTTGTTTGTATTGCAATGGCTGCTATCAAGCATGATTCCAATTGGTAGAACAGTCACTCTATTCGCAAATTTGGTCCCTAGCGGCTGCAGATTGTTTCTGAAAATGAAATAAAATTTGCACATTTTAAAATTTTGAAATTACAATGATATTATGTCAGAAGTAAGCAGAGGCGGATCCAGAACCTTTCCAAGGGGGTTGCAATTTTATGGGTTCGTAGTGGGCTGATTTATTTTATTGGGTATCAACGGTCAACGATGTCAACTGAGCTTGAGAATTGGGTATTTACGCCCCCCCCCCTTTGAAACTTCTGGTGGAAGTAAAAAAAAATAACCTTTAAAATAGTTATTATTAAAATAATATTTGTCTTAATATAAATAGGACGGCAATAATGATTAACCATCGTATTCAGATTGCAAAATTTTATAAAAAAATTCCCTCTTAAATGGTTGATAGAATACCCTGTTAAAATATTGCAACATCATTATGGAACATCCTGTATAAAGCTCTCATAATATCTATGCCTATGATCCCTAAAGAAATATCTCTACTTTTAACTTCCCTTTTTACTTTCCTATCTGTATACAGATGTGTGTGTATCCTCGATAACTCATGAACGGATACAAAGAAAAACATCAAATTTTAAACTTGAGCTTTATTCCGGCCTCCAGTGAACTGATTAGATTTTGGGCAGAGTAGGAACATCTAGGGGGGGTACTTTATACGTGTTCATTTTTATATTTTATGGAATATATTTGTTATTTACTTACAATATTATTATTTATAATTTTTGTTGTACATAAAATTTTCCTAAAATGGTCTATATTCGATAAATTTGACAAAATGTAAAAAAAATATTTTTTTATAAAAATTGTTTAAATAAAAGTTGTTTGCCATATAATTTTCTATAATTTTTATTCCATACATAATTTCTTTAAAATGGACCGTATTCGAGATATTTGAGAAAATGTGTAAATTTCGAATTTTGAAGAAAACTCAAAAGCTTAAATTTTAAACTTAAGTTTTATTCCGGCCTGAATTCTTCAAATAAAAGTTACTTCTTATATTATTATCTAAAATTTTTGTTTTATACAAAATTTTCCTAAAATGGTCCGTATTCGAGATATTTGACAAAATGTAAAAAAATATTTTTTTATAAAAATTGTTCAAACAAAACTTGTTTGTAATATAATTCTCTATAATTTTTATCCTTTACATAATTTCTCTAAAATGGACCGTATTCGAGATATTTGAGAAAATGTGTAAATTTCGAATTTTGAAGAAAACTCAAAAGCTTAAATTTTAAACTTAAGTTTTATTCCGGCCTGAATTCTTCAAATAAAAGTTACTTCTTATATTATTATCTAAAATTTTTGTTTTATACAAAATTTTCCTAAAATGGTCCGTATTCGAGAAATTTGACAAAATGTAAAAAAATATTTTTTTATAAAAATTATTCAAACAAAAGTTGTTTGTAATATAATTCTCTATAATTTTTATCCCTTACATAATTTCTCTAAAATGGACCGTATTCGAGATATTTGAGAAAATGTGTAAATTACGAATTTTGAAGAAAACTCAAAAACGGATATAGGAAAAAACATTAAATTTTAAACTTAAGTTTTATTTCGGCCTGAGGTGAAATGATTAGATTTTGGACAAAATCGGAACATCTGGGGGTACTTTATAGGAGGTCGTTTTTATATTTTATGGAATATATTTGTTATTTGTTTGGAGAAGAAAATTGTTCGAATAAAAGTTACTTCTAATATTTATTATCTATAATTTTTACATATTGCCAAATTTTCCTGAAATGGTCCGTATTCGAGAAATTTGAGAAAATGTGCAAAATTTTGATTTTTAAGAAAATTGTTTGAGATATCGATCTTTATAATTTTTGTTTTTTACATGATTTTTCTAAAATAGACCGTAATGAAAAAATTGGAGGAAAAGTGCTAAATTTAAATTTTTCAGTATTTTCATTTTCACTGAATATCTATAGAAAAATGTTTCGAGTTAGATGTATGTGGAAAATGTATGTATTTAGTTTATCCTCTAAACATTTATAGAGGTGCTGCAATAGGTTGTACAAAATAACCGAAAAAAGCCTACAATAACTAGATAGGAAAGTCATGTGTTGGATACATCAGATGTTTTGACTAGACCTATGGGTAATGAAATACATTTTCTTCCTATCAGAATAATGAATAATTAAAAAATCTGATGTGTCCAACACATGACTTTCCTATCTAGTTATTATAGGCTTTTTCCGGTTATACTGGGGGTTTAGTGGAGTGTTAATATTATAGGAATATAGGCAAATATTGTTTTATACCTAACAACTTACTTATTTTTTATTTATTGATAGTTATAGATAAGATGTATTCGAAATTCGAAGTAATGGTTATGACGTAGCGGTGTGCGTCTAATTGTAATCGGACCCTAACTATGTAGGTAAAAAACAGCTACAGCTACACATGTCAGTTTTTGACAATTAGCTTCTATAATAATAACAAAAAACACCATCGTGAAGCTGCAACAACCTCTCCACCTAAACCCCTATCGAAATCGGTGCGGCAATTAAAATTTTAAAACTCTAATTTAAAATCTAAAAATCTAGAATGTTATTGTTTTCGTCTTTATATCTGATCTGTCCTCCCAACACAACAAAAAATAATGTACATTTCTAAAAATATATCCAATACGATCTATCTTAGGGACATCGTGACATCGTATATACATATAATAAAAATACCAAAAAGTAGAAAAGCAACCGTCTTACACAGTATCCCCCCCTCCCCCAGTTGCTCCAATTATGCCCAAAATCTAACAAGCGCGTAGCTAGGTTGTTTTTTTGGGGCGGGGAGGGGAACACACTTTTCACATTATTGGTGAATGCGCAGCGTGTTATCTTAGAATTTGGTACCAATGCAACGTCTAGAGTTCATATGTGTATTTCCAGAAAAAAGAGTGAGTTTTATAATGAAGTTTTTAATTTTTTATATATTTATACAGAGTGTTTCAGAATAAAGTACAGTAATTTTGGGATTTGAAGATCTTAATCGATTACAAAGAAAAGCTAAATAATATTTTCCTATAAACGTCCCAGTTTTCATTCTACAGGGTGATAAAGTGAATTTCATAAATACATATTTTCTAAATATCTTCCCTTGCAGTAAAGACTTTAACTTAAAAATATGTATATGATAGGTAATCGTTATTATTAGTCAACACACTATTTCGATAAATTACCAGAACCCATTGGCGTAGAATGAAGGGCTAAAGAAACAATTTTATTCAAAACTTTTTAAACACCCTACATTTCATAAAACTTAAGATTAATAAATATTTCTCACGCCATTTGTCACAAAAAAGAAACTTCTCGTTGATCTTTGTAGACTACACCAGTTGCGAGGTGATACAACTGATTTATTTTATATAGAGTGTTTTGAAACATGTCTTAAATATGGCTAATTTTAAGTTAAATTTACTCAATTTTGTCAAATGCAACACACTGTATATTATTTTCGTATAAAATTCTTTAGGCCTTGTACTTACCTACTCTGTTACCTACCTATATATCTCCTGTTCAGTAGCAGCGATGCACACACTATTCTAACGATTGAAATATTTCTGCTAGCATTCTACTTTCCTGATAATTCTAACGTATGTTTTCACTTTGATCCAACGTTAGGTTGTTAGTTCTAGCTAATCAAAAATTTATCTATTTAATGGCAGCCTTTGATCATATACCAAGTTGATTATAGTCTATTCGAACTGTAATTTGTTCAGTACCGGGCTTAACTACTTTTTGAATATCTATGAGAATGTTGAAATATTTAAAATTATTTATCATGAATATTTTCAATTAAAAATTTAGTTAGTGTTGTTGATGATGACATATTTTTATTAATCAAATTCGTAAATGTATTAAGGTTTAAAATATTTAGTTCAATACAGTTGTAGTACTTAAGCATTTTGTAGAATTTCATCATTATTTATTTGATTACCTATTTCTATTTACAACTTATATCTAC